CCAAGCTCCAGGCAAGGTTTTCTTGCAGTCCCCGTGTAGACCAGTCTGCTGTTTGAATATTCTTGGTCTGGGTAATTATTACAAACTTTCATTTTATATGAAAAAATAAGACAATTCTCAGTGGTGGAGGGAGTAATTGAATCTCTATGCATCTAAATATCCTTGACAGTTTGTATTGTGTTTTTGTTACTCAACAATGTGTGTTCTAATACTAGACAGACAACGTAAATCGGGATTTGGCCTCCAGTGAAATAGTACCTTAAGTCTCTCAGCCCAATATAATGCTGGATATGAAAAGGGGCCTTTTCTGAAAGGGGATCTGGTCCTTTCTTCCTCATTGCACAGGGGTGGGTTCTAAAGATAAATTTATCCTTTTCTCTTGGTAAAGTAGTCTCACTTGCACTTTTATCTGTATTTGTCAATTTCGTACCCCAATACAGAAGTATATCCAAGAAGCCAGGAATCTCGGCAGCACCATTCGGCAGCCCAAACTGTCTAACCTCTCTCCATCGGTAATTGCACAAACAAACTGGAAGTTTGTAGAAGGGCTGTTGAAGGAGTGCCGAAATAAGGTAATACAGAGAATATTTCTGTTCTCTTGCACCTCATATCCATCCTTTATGGACCGTTTATCGTCTCCTTCCACCATCTGTTTCTGCCTTATCCATATAAGTATACTTGCATGGTATCCGTATAAAGATTTTTGCGTGGTAGTGAGAAATTCATGAAGACATAACGCATTTAAAAATTCCTTAAGGACTGGAAACTTTATCAAGCAGATTTATGATAGAGAATGTAAAATGATAGAAAGAGATTGAGTATTATGATGGGTCTTTATTGTTCCACTGCCCATGTCTATTATAGCTTATTTCAGTTAATGCTAATGAGGCTATACTTTTCCAACAAGAGTGAATATTCCAAAAGAGTAGGTTGTAATGAAAATGCAGGAGCTTTTCTCATATCTAAAGGAAGTGGGTTAACAAGCTCAAAGCACTTACTGAAGAAATTCGGCATTAGTTTGTGGACATGTTTCACCAGTATATATTTGAGAATGTATTAATCTGAATTAGAAGTTAATACTAACACAGTAAAGATGATTATTATCAAATAGACACAGTCTTGCCTTAAGTCAGTGAAGGTAATATAGCAATTGTGTACAACTTTTTGTAAAACCGTGATTAATACATGCGTCTACTTCTGATTGCACTTTAGTTTTCTGTATGTATGAAACTGTCCAAATAATCCCCTTCACTTAATAGAGGCATATGACAGTGAAAATCCTTGAAGATAGATTTGAGTCTTTCACTGTAGGAATGCAGCTGTAGGGAACGTAGTGAGCCTGCCGTTAGCAGAGAGAGAAATTACCAGGGGAGGTGAGAAGGAGAAACAGCTAGAGACTGAGTTCTTCGTCTCAACTAAGACTGTGCATGGGAGCCTAAGAGAGTTCTACTCATTTGAGAGCTACTCTAGTATAGCAACAAAAGTGAAAAAAATGCGTGAGAAATGAGCAGAAGTGATTCCCTAGTCGTTTTTCCCTCCAGGTAGCTATATGATGAATACATTGTGACTAGGAGACTGTACTTTAAGAGTTGGCGATACTCTGTTGACCAGTATGAAATTGTGCATGATTTAGGAGGATGTGGCTCACTGGTGAAACTTAAGAGATACACTCCAGAACAGGTTTGGTTTAAATGCAAATACCCTTCTGACAGAACAGAGTCTCACAAGGATGACATATCCTCCTGCTGCTTCGAAGCACTTGTGCACGTTCACCTTTCCTGGGAGGAGATGGACATAGTCTACTGCTCCCAGTCCAGCACTCACCAGGCTTCTGAAACACCCAAGCCTGCCTTGCAGTGCCTTGCTGCTAGGCTTCTAGCTTGCCAACATGTGGCCTGCAGTTCCCTTTGTTGGGGTTATGCTGTGGAGGCTTACGTGCCCATTTGCCACCCCCTTGTTAGAAAGACAGAAGAGGCTGTAAAGTGATCAACACTGGTGCTGCCATGGCTTGGAAAACAGGGATAAAAGAAATGAATTTTTGCACTAGTTTCAGAAATACCGCATACATCCAGTTATTCTGCCACGTCTTTGCTATCGTGTGCTTCCTTGTTCGTTGTTTAAAAAGTGTTAAGTGAACTTGGAAGTTCCCATGGAAAGAATTAATTCTCTTTTGCCTTGTCCTTTTTGAGACCAAGAGGATGTTGGTTGAAAAAATGGGTCGAGAAGCTGTGGAGCTAGGTCACGGTGAAGTGAATATCACAGGTGTAGAAGAGAATACCCTGATAGCCAGTCTGTGTGACCTCTTAGAAAGGATATGGAGCCATGGTCTGCAAGTCAAACAGGTGAGGAACATATATTTCTGTATGTTGCAAAGCGCACTTTTCTAAAGTCATGTAATGCTCTTTCTCTCTCTGGTTTCAGAGGATACTTTTTGTGTGTATATAGACGTATATAGACATTTTAAAATACTTGTGTGTATCCCCAGCCTTTTTTATGTCAGTTACTGCCCCCTTGTCTCTCTCCACTTTTTGCTCTGGAGTATGTGCAAGTGCACGTGTAGATGTGTTCCGCAGATGACTTCTTGGAAGACTTTCTCTTCATTTAACCTGGGGTTTTTGTTTCCTTTGTTTGTGGGTTTTGGTGGGTTTTTTTAATAGGATGGTAAATAAAACTGTTTCTGTGGTCTTAATACTTTTGTTATTGAAGTTGCATAGGCTATAAGGCAGTGTATGCTAAAGGTGCTGTCAGTGGGACATGGTATGGGGAGTTTGTTTTCATGAAGGATGATATAGTTTTTAAAAGTAAAACTCTTGCTATTTTGATTCTTCCTGAATGATATAAGGATAGTTAAGTGACATTTGCAGGATCACTAGTTAGAGGTGTTAGTTTTTGTATGAAATTAATGATTGTCATGCTCTTCTGTTTGGAGTCACTTGTGGGACTAGATGGAGTTTGGAAGGCCTTTATTCTTTCCTCCTGCTTTGTACAAAGGAATAGCAAGGACAGTGAGGATTATAACTTGTTTTTAAAAGGATGTGGAGAATAAGCGTACATAATCCAGACAACTGTAATTCAGTATCTCTGTTCCCAGCATCCAAGCACCAATGTTTAAATCTGCTCTCCTTCAAACTATATAGCAGTTCTCTATGTGAAGATTTATCATGTGATTCTCTCCCTTCCCTCTTGTATATCACTTAGGATAGAAGCTGTACTGCTTTCATCTTAGAAGACAGAGCATCAGTATACTCTGCTTCAACTCAGATTTGGGCCTTTCAGACCACCAGACGGCCAACCCTACATAAGGTTAATGCTTTGGATTGATTGCAGATGTTGGCAAACAGTGCTGAATGGTGGAATAAAAAGAGTGGTGGAACATAATAGAGGCCTGATGGAGGAAGTGCAGTGCATCTCATATTGTGAGCCACAGTTTAAAAAAACAAAGAAGCAAAAAAAAGCAACAAACAAAACCCAAAAGAAAGCACCACCAATTCTCTGTGTGCTCTGGCCTTTGCTAAATATGCAAAAGCCTGCTGGTTTATACATCTATTGTGTTTTATTTTTCAATAATGAGCCAAGAAAGACTCTTCTTTCTCAATTGACCGTAGTAATGAGGATGGCTTTCCTTCCAACAATCCCTGCTTTTCCCACTTCCCTGCTGATGAACCGTGATAGTCCTACATTAGCTTCCATGTGCAAAGTGAATCTACACCTTCCTTTGCCCAGAGCAATACAGGAAATTTGTCAGATGTAGGGTCTAATGACTGAAGTAGTCTGAACTTTCAGGTGGCCTTGGTTATTCCCTTGCCCATTCTCTGTCCCACTACTCTCCTTAGGCTGTCTTCCCTTCCCTTCCCTTCCCTTCTAGATACAGCTTGCATCATCATTGCTGTTCGGTGAAGTTAAAGGAGGGTAACATGATGGTAAAGGAGGTGGGCAGATACATACTGCATGAGTTCTTACATTCATCATGATTGTTGACATCTATTTGCTGCAGGACCCTTTGTTTGCTGCTTTATGTGATCTGTTGCAGTTCTCCTTACCATGGCAGCTAGCTGTTGAACACTAGACAGTGTGTGTGTGTGTGTTTATTGAGAGAGATGCCATTTTGGATGTAACTGTTCCTTGGTTGATATTTTTCATGCTCTTTTCAATTTTTTTTATAAGACTTGCAATTTTGGCTTTCCATGTTGGATCTGTCAGGTACACACATGAGGCATTGAGCTTCTCTGGATTTTTTATGTCTTCAGCACTGAACGCATATTTTTAATGGATTTCTCTCAACACAGATGTTATAGACACTATAGACTTTATCTTCTAGAGGCATGCCACTTCTGGAATAATCCCTCATGGTTGTTAGTTCTTTATGTCAACTGTAGTGAGTTATAGGATTGAAGTATTTAGAGATTTTTCAAGATTTATTTTTTTTAAATATTTCAGAGTTGAACCATAATTACTGCACCTCCAGGAAGGCACTTACATGATTTTAGGTTACATTGATAGTGCTAAATTGACAACTGTTGCTTTACAGTCGTCGCTTTTTTCTGCACAAAGTTGTGCATAAAAATATGGCTTTATAATATGACTGTTTTATGAAATGCAGAATTGCTAAATCTTTACTGGGATTTCAAGTTAATATAATAGTTTAGGAAGATGATAAGTAATACTAATTCATTTTCTCTGTAAGTAATTCCAATTAATGTGCTGGAGAGCCCCTGTTCAATTACTGCCGCCTTTCTGTGGCTTTGCAAGCTTTTGATTTATCATGCTGAATGTTTTAGGATGAATCCAAGAATCTTTTTAATTTGCCAGTGAAAGATTTCCCCACACTCTGCTTTAAGCCACCAGAGGTTTAAGAAGGCAACATAATGAGCAAGGTGCACCTTATAGCATCATTTTTCTGATTATCTTGGCCTAAATACTACATCTCAGATTTTCACTTTCAAATTGTTTTTTCATGTGTAGAGCTGGAGTATTGCCGATAAAATCTAATTGTTCTGCTTGTGTTTTGAGTTGTCTTTTTTTACTGTGCTTGTGATTATCCAAGTCCTTTGCCTGATGAAGTTGAGGAGGATCTTTTGAGGTTCTGAAAATTGACAGTGTGCATCTGTAGCCCTGAGTTACCCTGAAGGGAACAAATGCACAAGATTTGGTCTGGGTATAAGATGGTTTACTCAGACTGGCTCTGTGTCTCTGTCATTTCACTGCTAGAGAGTCAGGGAGGGAAGGACATATAGTACAGGTTATGGCCTCAGACCTAGAACTCTATTCGCACATAGTGTTTTACAACCCTTTAAATGTTTTCTGTCATGTTTGTGAACTATGAGAAATGAAGTTCAGTTGACTTTTTCCTGTTACCAGAATCATTAGGTTCCAGTAGTTTGACTATTGCTTTTCTTTCTGAACCTCTTTACAGCTCCTGAGCACCTCCAACTGTCTCATTTTTGGTTTTTACCAATGACTTTATAGAAAGAAACATATTTAAAGCAAGTTTTTTTATGACACTTTCAATGATGATTTAAACTTTTTTTTTATTCAGCTGATTTCTTTAACTTTTTTTTTTTTTTTTCATTTTAGGGAAAGTCTGCTTTGTGGTCTCATCTGTTACACTATCTAGAAAACAGACAGAGAAAAACTACATCAGGCAGCTTCAGTACCTCAGGTAAGACTGGCTTCTGCTTCTTCTGGAAGAAGATGATAAAAAAATATGAGTAAACTGCCTGCAGGTTTGCACCATGCAGAGATTATTTCCTTGGAAATATCCTTCCCTCAATTTAACTAAATCAAATATTTTGGCCACTGCAGAATTAATATGGACCTGGTGTATTGTCTCAATATATTTTGTTTGGGCTCAATCCAAATATTTGATGTTTCAAAGATAGGCTTTAAAATGGATTGCTCTGATATACCATACTCCATATGACATGTAGTCACTGTGTGACTGGCAAAGTGTATTATGTTATGGATGGGGATGGAAAACAAGTATGAGTATATAAAATTGTGCTGTGCATCCTGAAATTTTACTTTCTGTATTGAAAAACAACTGAACAGTAGGCTTATTGTTTAAAAGAAAAAGACATTTAAAAACCTACAAAAAACACCGAAAAAAGACATTTTCATTTATATCAAGTGTTGCAGTAAAAGTAATATTGTGTATAAGATCCACTGATAATCTGTTCCTAAGGTTATTCATGTAATTTTTAAACACTAATACTTGTGTCAGATGGGGGCATAGGGTGTAACTTCAGAGAGAACAATGGGTTTGAGAGAGGCAGTGGGTGCCTTTTGGGTTTTGTTTTTGGGTTTTTTTTAAAGTTACTGTAGGCAAAGAGCTGAGCATTACTAACATGCACAAGGTCCTGTAAGCAATAAAAAATAAAGACTTGGAAAGTATTAAGGTCTCCTGAATGTCACTTGGTCCGTAGTGTTTTTGTGTATGAGACTTAAGTTACAATCAGTTTTATGCTTTGTAACTTGGGAATGAGGGCAGGGACTGTATTTAATATACAACTTGATTCTAGAGTGGAATTTGAAAGATAAGAGTAATAATAGTGCTTAAAAAAACCCCAAATGTACTATTTTTAAAAGTAGTGGTGTTACAGGAGTGTGTGAAGTGATAGGTTAGTTAAGCATGTGATGTATGGTATGCTGAGAAAAACATGTTGAACAATGGTTTCTGGTGTCAACAGTGCCAGTCAGTTTTATTATGTAGAGAGAAAATAGAGTAGTCTTCAGAAAATAATGCTTGATTAGTGTATGTCTTAAGCCATTTAATGTCATACTAATTTCAGCTGAATCTAAGCTTATTAATGTGTTAATGCTCAGTGTGTGCTGATCTGTGTAACCATCTGTGTAGCATATTAGATTTTCATGTCATTTGAAGTGGAAATATGCCACAATATCTTCACAAAGCAGTGAGTCACCAATAATGCAAGAGTGGAAGTTGGTGTTACTTCACCTTCTTTTTTATACTGATTTAAAAATATTTAGATAGATTTCTACTAACACAAAATTCTGTTTGAATCTAGGAATACTTCTTGATTCAGAAAGGAGAAAGTCTGATAGCAGTCCAGCCATGTCACCTCTTAGAATCTCTCTCATCCAGGATATGAGGTGAGTTTAAACTATTAACTGCTGAACTGTTTTAGAGTATATAGTGCAACCTTTTCATTGACCTTTACAAAAACATGTTTTATACCATGGAGATTTTTGTCGTGGCAGCTACTAGCTTGTAGAAATACTCTGACACAGTTTTCATTTTTTTGTAAGTATTCTGTATTGTTTTATTTCCACAGAGATGTGGGTGTAGCATATGTATTTTCCCAGTCATTGCCAACTTGATTGTGTAGCTCTGAGCTCATTCTTGCTTTTCGGTCAAGAAAGCAGTTTTAAGAAGTTGTTTGATCTAAAGAATGGGCTTATCTAACATTGAGTACTGTAACATGGAGAAAACTAACTTCTGCTCAATGGCCTATGTTCAATACATCAAAAAACAACATGCAGAACTTCTAAATTAATTTTGAAAGGATTTTTCTTTCCTCTTTTTCGTTAAACAACATCTATTTATTTCAGTGGGGAGGAGTGAATTGAGGATTTTCAAGGGACACGCTTGTCCTTTCGAAATACATTATTTGTGTCTTGTATGCACAGAATTACTATTGAGCATGCAAAGACAGCATTTAATTTTCCAAAGCACTCAGCCATAAATATTGCAGTGATAAGGTCCAGAATGATTCTTAAATCATGTAAGGCAACAGGCCTGGTTTAGAATTTTGTAAATAGGGCACTGCATTGCAGATAATTCCTTTTCAGGCTCTTGCTATTTTTCAGCTGGAGATGCAAGGAATTTAGATAGTGCTGAATATTAAGGTGATCATGCCTCTTTTTCCAGTAGTTTGTCTGATGTTTTGTGTTCTTGGCAAAATTCCTTCTTCAAGCCAGCTTGTTTCAAAAGAACCATCACACTTTGAAAATACTGGGCAATGTCTTTTCTTTTTTTCTTTTTTGCTTTTCAGGCATATCCAGAACATTAGTGAGATCAAAACAGATGTTGGCAAAGCCAGAGCCTGGGTGCGTCTCTCTATGGAAAAGAAGTTGCTCTCTAGGCATCTAAAACAGCTGCTTTCAGACCATGAACTCACAAAGTAAGATGGTTTATCTTGGGCAAAGCTTTTAAAAATTAAACCTGTTTAATTGTTTGGCTTCAAAAACCTAAAAGTACCTATTCTTTCCTCTGCTTAGCAGAGTGCAAAAGGAATAGAACGACCTAACCTTACAAGTATCCCTCTGTACCTGTGTATGAGCTATTTGGGAATTATGATTCAATGCTGGGGTTCTTCAGTTACTGAATCAGTTCTGACAGTGCAGACTGCCTGCAACTTTGAGGTGAAATCTTCAAAAATTACTAGGGATTAAATTAAACAAGGCATAAGTCCAAATGCCACTACTTTGCTGAGTCAAGCTTGTTATCTTGTCACACTTTCTGTAACTGTGGGATTTTTTTTTTTTCCTTGGGTTATTTGTGTGTTTTTGGAATGTATGGCAAAGTGCAGCTTAGGTCCTGGTTGCAGTTCTGTCACAATATGAAGAATGTAAAGGCGCATCCAGATGTGCTTCTGTGGTTCTTGTTAATGTGACTCAAAGTGACTGTTCCTTAGCTTCTCACTTCTGTCTCCAAATCTGAGACATTCTTGTGATTCCTTTCAGTGTCATGTAGAATAACGTACGTAAAATCAAGTTCTGTGTGGTTTAAGAGAACAGATGAACAGTGTACATGCACTACCTTGAAGATGGCTAGGAAGGCTGTGATCAGTTCTTGCATCTCATTTTGGGGCAATAAACTCAAGATGAGATCTGGTGATCTTTTGAAATCTTCCAGCTAAATCTTTCAGACCATGAGTGTCCACATCTCTAGATCAAACTGACAGTGTGACAAACAAACAAAAGCTTTGTTTGTCCTCTCCTCTACAGTAAAGGTTTTGCATTTATAGCCTGCTTAAGAACATAAGGTGAATTATTTTCATAATAGTCAAATATCTGCTATTGTGGATCTTTTTTTTTATTACTTCTCCTAAACATTTCAAAATATGTGACTTTCATTCCTCGTATATGAAGTAATAAAAAAAATTATGAAAAAAACCCAACCATTGAGACCCAAAACACTATTTGAAGAGTGATCGTGAAAATGGGAGAAGTATATGAAGCACTGAAGGGGAGGGGGGATGTGAGTGAGAACTGAAGACTTGAACCTGGAGAGAGGTCCAAATTCTGGTGGCGTAAACTCTGTCAAAAGTACTTTGTCTTAGTGCTTTTTATAAGTATGCAACTTGAAGGGCAAAAGCAGAAATGCTCAGCACAAGGACCTGTTTACTTAACATGGTGATGTCTAGAGCATATGTACATTATAATATCTTTGTAAATATTTTGTACATAGTTGCACAAATCAAAGTACAGGCCATATTTAATGCTGTTTTAGGAGTAACAATTTGAGGTTTATTTAGTATAACCTGTGCAGAAAAAAAATGATGATAAGGTTGAATATACTGTTTACTGTGTGGAAATTAAAGGTTCTTTTGTATGGGCCCTAGTAATTTTTATTAGCTTTAATTGACTTCTTTCTGGAGACAGCTTAATTTGTGCTGTCTACTCTTCCTTTCCTTTCTTCCCTCTTACACCACCTTCCAAGAAACGTCTTCCCTCTCTCAGTCGCCCCGAAGCCCAGCTGTTAATGATTTGAGATTTGCCTTGTATTATTGGACTTTCTGATGAAGCTGTGGCTTTCCAACAACAGGCAAAGGAAATCTGAAGGACAGAGTGAGGACACCTAATAAATCTACCTATATCTCTAAATTGAGGTTAGTCCTCTCCAGTGAAGTCAAGAGTCCAGAACAGGTTAAATTTAGCAGTGCTTGTCCCATGCAGAACAAGTGCTTTCCACATTTCACTGCACTCCACCTCACTCCCACCTCCAAAAAGAAGAAAAAACCCCAGCTGTCTTAATGCTCGCCAGTGCATTGTTCATCTATCAGACAAATTCTGATTCTCTAGAACAGAGTGAGACAGTAGCAAAAATATGTTTTAAATGAAAGTGACAGGCAAAGGAGCAACTTACACAGGAATGACACAAATTCTTTGTAATCTTGTATGCTCTGTGCTGCATGTCTAGATATCCTACTTAAAGAAAGGTGTTCTAGGCAACATGGATTTAAAGCGTGCTCTATTTTTTGTTTTTAGAGGAAGCTGTGCCAAGTTCAGTGAGGTACTAAAAGTAATTGTGCAACTTCTGCCATTTTATAGTTAACATTTTTGTGTGTTTTTCTTTTTTGAAGCGACTGCTAGATGTTTTAATTAACCCATTCTCCTCATTTGGCGTTTGCTAAAAAATGCAAGAAAACTGAAACATGTTTGGTTTCTTTCTAGTCTGCGAAGAGACTAGAGTTAGGGAACAGAAGGAAATCACATAGCTTCACTTCCCTGAGACCTTTACATGCATGAGTAAACTGAGAAATCTTACAATTTGAAAAGGCAGGACAGCACATACCCTGTGACAGGCTGTCTAAACATGTGGGTCAGAGTCACCATAAGACCTTTGTGGGTTTGCTACTCTTGTGGCTACAAGCAGGTTATGCTGATTTAAGGCTCAGTGTCTTTATTTCCATTGAACATTTCCTGTCAATCTCTAGTGTTATGTTTGTTGTGTAAGTAAGAATATATGTGTGCATTAATCCTCATTGATTTGTTTTGCAAATTTCTGGCTTGTGAGTCACTTGCTGACTTTTTTGTAGTTGATATCTGGAATTGAAGGGAGTTGTCAGGATGCCTTCCTGGCAGGAAGAACCTATCCATGGCTGTCTCAGCATTTTTAACACCTTATTCAAAACATAATGCGTGCATGAATTTTCCTCTAGCATCGGTTGGATTTTGATGCATCTTGGCATGCTCTTCTTTTATGATTATTCGCCAACACTGGTCTTATTTGTTGGTTGCATAATTAACAAAAATAGTGGTGGTTGCTATGTACAAGTGAGTAACTTTTTAAGAGTATTTTCCAGTCAAAATTTGCACTTGGAAAAGTTAAGGTTGTAAATTCTTTTCAAGGTTTCTCAGGTGCAAGTCGTGCAGTGTTAAATTCTCTAATGTGTTTGAGTAATTTCAATAAGTATAGAGGATTGTTTCTGTTTACAGTGCATTCTTCTGCATAGGCATTAGTGTCTCCACTAGTGGGAGGTGACTACTGAGCTAGATCTTTTCATATTTCCGCATAAACGAAGTTGCAGTTCTGTGCAATGTTGCAGTCCTAGCAGAGTTTGCAACCCAATAAAAGGGAAAAGCAAGACTTTAGGCCACCTTTGCCTGCTTACGATTTCAGTTATGTCAGGAGCTGTGCACTGTCGACACTGAAGCTATTCCCTGGCTTCATGTGCAGGTTATTGTAGGTCCTGAGTTATCACCTATAACCTAAGAGAAGCAGATTGCCCCACTGTTTGCCCTAGTGTCCTTTAAAAACAGTCTTCTACCTCTTATGTCATGTTCTGGAGGACTCTCCCACAGCACCATCTGCTCGGAAGGAATTTATGAGGGCTCTATTTACTTCAGTTCTGTCATTTTACATGGCCAAAAGAAGTCGGAGAATTTTTTCCAAGAAAGTACAAAATTCCTTTTTCCATCTTTTGGGGTGTTCTTGGGTGGGAGAAGACCCTAAGACCACCCCAAACGTTGCTTTCAAGGGATGGAAAGTAGTGAGAAGTATTGGACTGATGCACTTGGAAGACTTCAGACTTGCAGAGTGTCGACATATCTTGGCACATTAAATGCTGTTGGCTCTACCAGTATCACTTGTCATTTGTAATCACTTGCACATTCTTCATAGTTTACCTAATAAATATGCACAATAGAAAACATTTCACTGAAAGCATCTTGTTACTATGACAGATTATTTGTTTTGCTTTGTCAGAAAACTCTACAAGCGTTATGCATTCCTCCGCTGTGATGATGAGAAAGAACAATTCTTATATCATCTCCTGTCGTTCAATGCTGTTGATTACTTTTGTTTTACCAATGTTTTCACAACAATCTGTAAGTATTTGCTTTCCCTGAAACTCTGATTTCCAGATTTGGTTGAGTCTTTATCCAAAATTCTAAGCAGCTCTGAGCAACATGCCTTAATATAATCGTTCTGCCTTCTTCCTGGTGTCCATCTATGTATGCTGTATTGCTATTCCTGTGATCCTTTCTGATGGGCAGTAGTGTCTCTCTCTGTGTCACTAAAGGGTTTTGTTTCTAACTTGGTAAAATATGCAGCGTTAATCCTTTTATTTGGGGAAGAGTTCTCAACACAAAATTTTGTGGTGGGCTTGTTTGCATCATACTAAACAAGAACAGTATAGATTGTTCATTATCAAGGTAAGAATATTAACATATGCTAGGAATTAAAAAGAAAACAAAAAAACCCTTTCCCCTTTTTATGCTCGCGCTACTTTTGCCGCATGCCTGCCTTTGAATTTGGAATAACAATGAAATGCCCATAGAGGGGTACATCAGAACTCTGCGACACATTGAAGTACCACCTTCTTCTTTTTTTTTTTTTTATTTTTTTTTAAAAAGATGCCCCAGAGAAACTTTTAACCTATTGTTACTGATGCTTAAAGGTGTTACAGAGTTCTCGTGCATTTGTATGCCTGCTGCCACAGGACCTCACTGTTAAGGCAGAATAAGGAAAGACTTTAGCAAGGCTTATAAAATTGGGGGTGGGGGTGTGTGAAAGGACCCCTCTGACCCCATGGTAGGAGCTACCTTTGGTATGTTTTTCGGATCTGTGTTTGTGTGTATGAAAGAAAAAGCAAGCAGGCCACCTAAGCAAAATAGGTTTTGGTCTTGTTCTGGGCAAGTTCTGGACAATGCTAAAGTCTGGTCTGCTGCATGCAGTTAAATTGTCACTTATTTTAAAAGTATCAGCACAGAAAATGGAAAGAGAAACATTTTAATTCCTTCTTAAATGCTACTAATGCATCAAGCTGTTAAGAAAATCCAACCACCAAATGCTTTCTTGAGGGCACTGACAGCTGAGGAGACATTGAGAGAGAAATTTATTAAACGCCTCAGCTGAAAAGCCCTAACTGTAATCCATTTATGCACTATAAAAGAAGGGCAGATCACCAAGAAACACAATGACCGTTCAGATAATTGGATTTTGTTATAAAAGTTTGGTTAATAGGAGGCTGTGCATGAGATGCTAGATGATTGAAAAGCACATGCATTTCCTCAGGAGCGCATGCCTCCTGAGTCAGAGAAGGAGCTGAGGTATGACTTTGTTGAATTAGTCACTGGTAAATGAGGGGATTTGAGCGCGTGTCTGGTGCCAGTTAGAGGAGAAAAAAGTTTTCTGTTCTTTTTAAAATCAAGAAACCTTATGGTTAGCATAACGAAGAGCAACATGGTACAGAGAAACTTGCAGCATTATAGTGTATTTTCGCTGAATTTCTTCAGCCACAGTAGTGAATGCTGCTACAAGCAAGCTCTGTAAAAAAGGCTTTGGTTAGTAATTGAATGGGCATTGGTGTTAGTTGTGTAGTGTGCATACCTGCACACAGAAAAGCAGGCAATTGGGAGTTGAGCAGTGAGTTGCACGCTGAGCTACAGCGAGTCCTGGATACATTAATATTCTGTCTTTATTTCCTTGTCTCTAAGCTGGGGACAAGTAACTATCTGCATGACGTGTTTTGAGGCTGGTAAATGAAAAATTATGATACCAGTATAAAGGCATTATTCCATCCATATTTCTTTTTTCACTTGACAGTGTTTTGCTATCAGCTCTGCTTCTTAATGACTGCTACACAAACACTTCCTGATTGTCAATCAGTGCTTAGTGTGCAAGTGTTAGCATGATTAAATAGCAGCTCTGATGTTAGTTTACCATTTCATGGTACTGCATTATTATTTTATGACTTCTCTTTTCCCCCTCTCTTCATAAAAGAGGTTACATACTTATCCTTCTTCCTTTTTGAAGTGTTATTTCTTCTTGTGTTTGCAGTGATACCATACCATATATTGATTGTTCCTAGCAAAAAACTTGGTGGCTCAATGTTTACAGCCAATCCTTGGATCTGTATCTCGGGAGAACTGGGTGAAACAGGAGTCCTGCAGATCCCCAGGAATATATTAGAAATGACTTTTGAGGTTTGTATTGCGTGAAACAAAAAATGCTTTGGATCTTCAGTTTTAAATTCTCCTCTTGCTGTACTGTCTTGCCATACATTTCATATCTTTAGTCTGTGCTTAGTTGCACACTAATATTTCCTGTGCCTATACATAGCAAATTTAATCTATATTTGATAACATGCAGAGCAAAATGGCTGACAAATCCTTAGTGCAAGGATGGACAAGATTGTCTTTATATTACAACTTTGTGCTGTAATGGTGGGAGGTGTCATATCCTCTTCTGTTGGAAACAAAGAAGTGGCTCTGCTCTGATTTTTGTGTGTATGTGTGCATTGGTTAAAATTTGATTGAAAAATCTGGTTCAACTGATGTTCTCTCTGCTGATCAAAATAGTATTTAATAAAACCAAGCAAACAAAAACAAATAAAGCAGCCTACCCCTGAAAAGCCCAGAATCAATCATCAGTCAGTCATAAAAGGAGAACGAGATTTCTGATTCCCTGAGCGTGTTCTCTAATGGTTTACTCCTCCAACATGCTGCTCTCTCAGTTTGCTCTGACAAACTCTTTGTTTAATTTACAGTGCCAGAACCTGGGAAAACTGACCACAGTGCAAATAGGACATGATAATTCAGGGCTGTATGCCAAGTGGCTAGTGGAATATGTTATGGTCAGAAATGAAATAACAGGGCATACTTACAAGTAAGTATCATCCTGACATTTCATGTTGGGTAAGTAGAATTTCTGCAGGGAGCTGGCACAATAGGGCTTGTTTGATTAGAAAGGTCTTATCTCCTGGGACTCTGTGTCTACAGTTGCTGCTACCTGAAGGCATAGAAAGGTCATTTGGCTTCTGGCATTAAACAAGTCGTGATTCTTACAAAATTAAACATAGTTTTCAGTTTGCAGATGCTCATGTCTAGCCTCAGAACATTGGTGGAGAAGTTGAGTTGACTGTTGCGCATCTTAAAAATAATATGGCTTGAGCCCAAGGAAGAAATAGCAAGTTAGAGCTTGCTGCTTAACCAAATAGGGGTGGTATTTTGTATTAAGACTGAGTGTCCGAGGTGTTACAGGGAGATCTTTGGACACAAGCTGGAACACAAGGGCTTATGAGTGTTAGAAACCTGTGTTTGCGTAGTGAAAGTAAAGGGATGAGATTTGCAGTAAGAATTCAATTTATTTGTGTTAGGTAAAGCATAGTTTGATACCCTGTCCTTTAGAGAAACTGTCAGGCTCATGTTGATGACAAATTAGTAAGTCCACTCAGTTCTCCATGCCAGTTTCTTTGTGATTAAATGAAGAGGCAAGATTCTATTTTTGGATGCTGTTCAGTTTTCTGATTAAGCTGATTAAACTGACATCAGCGTTGGTTCATAGAAAGTGATAATGAGCAAGTGAGCACATGTGCTTTCTAGTGTTTGAGTTATCTCAATTTCAATAGATATATTGGTGTTTTGGCATTTAAGTATATGTTTGTGGTTTTTTTAATTGTGGCTGGACTGCTATGTAATGTGTTCAATAAAAGCATAGATGTATTTCACCACCCACCTATAGTGTGTAGTGGGTCTTCCCCTTCTACCTCTTTTTCTTCTGCAGCCCTCAAATCATGTGCTGCATATAGGACACAAGACAAGATCTGCCATTGTTTGCTTTGCGGATCATCTAGTGTAACATTTAGTACGAACCTGGAACTGAAAAGCTGTTTTACTTTTGCTCCCTCTGCTGGCAAAAGCCGAACCCAAGACTTTGTTTCTCGTTGCTAGATAAGTGAAGTATTTCCAATAACTCTTCTAGCAGAATTTGGGTTTTATGCAACTGCCGTTGAAAGTCTTTGGAATGAAATTGAATCTGAGTTGAAGGACTTGATCCAAATATCTTGTTTGTGTTCTTAGGTTTCCCTGTGGAAGGTGGCTTGGAAAGGGAATGGATGATGGCAGCTTAGAGAGGATCCTGGTGGGAGAGTTGCTGACTTCCCACACTGAGGCTGATGAGCGGCAGTGCCGAACCCCTCCTTTGCAGCAGTCACCAAGCATGATCAGAAGATTTGTCACTATATCGCCAAACAATAAGCCAAGTGAGTGCTGGGGGATGTCTTGTCTTGTACTGTTCCACATTGTCACCTGAGGAGAGCTGCTTGCAAACAGAACTGTAGATTTTCTTGTATTTTAGAACTGTAGCTTGGAAAGGACCTGTGAAACTCGCTTAGCCCAAGCCCCTGCTCAAAGTCCAGCTACTTCCAGAGCAACCTGTTCTATTGACTCAAGTTTTGAAAGTCTCCAAGGATGGAAGGAAGATGCCTCTGGACTCCTGGTCCAGTGCTTAGCTGCCCTAGTGCTATTTTCTGTGTTCTTGTCCTTCATTAGTGGAGTGAGTGCTACAGAGAAAGGCAGAAATTTGCTAAATTTGCTGTCCTGTCTCTCTCTATCATTCATGGATGAAAAAGCTTATTAGTGGTTTCTATTAATGGACTTTAGTTTTCTATTGATATCACTGTTCTGGGGTTATCTTATTCCTGATAAACCAGGTGGTTACTTTGCTCCCAAGCGAAACTATCACTGGAAGTATTTCCAGGATGCCTGGATTTGATGGTCCTAATGAAAGCACAGCTCCTTTTCTTAGCTTAGGCCCTGGTCTGAAAATTCACGTAATATGTTAAAACCGTTTCCACCTATTGTTGTGTTGAAATACCACAGTGTTAACTTCGATATAAAACCAAACCATCTCCGTTTCTACCTCCTCCACAGTAAATAAAAGTAGAATTGGATTTCTGTTACCCACAGTCCAGCGCCTTTTCACTGCCACCATAGGTTTTACTGGTTCATGCTCCTCTTCTTTTTTTTGTGGTATGTCTTATCCTTCATGCACAGATACAATTTCTAAAGCTGTTACAGAGTGACTGGATATATTTTTGTGTTTTGCAGAGTTAAATACTGGTCAGATACAAGAAGCTATTGGTGAAGCTGTCAATGGTATTGTTAAGCATTTCCACAAGCCAGAGAAGGAGGTGAGGAGTTGTTGTCTGTGTAGCAGCACTCATGACTTAAAACTTTTATTAGTAAGCATGGGAGAATATGTAACAGAAATAACTAAACTGAATGAACAGCCATCTGTTTGGAAATTCCTTAAGTGAACCAAAAGTGAGATACTGAGACTAAACTGTTGGAATAGTACGTCCTCAAGTAACTCAGTTTTGCCACTAACTGGAACCTTCTGTTAATTTAAATGTTAATATTCTGGTATTGGAAATTGTGTTATTAGTCAAATTCTGCTGAGGATTCTACTCCTGCCACTGTCGAAAGTGTTGCCTCCTGTTTAATTTGTTCTGGATTAACTGACACTTCACATTTACAATGTGCCTGTTTTGCTACTTAAAATGTGAAAATCTATGGGCCACTTTAATGAAACAAAAGAAACAAAAAAGACCCACACCCAAACACCCACAGTTACGCCCCTGCAAGTGAAGCAGAAGATGACTCTGGTACACGTGTAATCATCTTAACTGACACAGCAGTTATTTCCTGAAACAGGTGTAAGAAGCATGCCTCTGTTAAAGCATCACAGTCCAGTCCTTGTGAGCAGGAGTGGTGTAGAGCAGTGCTGGCTCTTGCATGGATATCTCTTGAAAGTCATTGATTTTTTACAAATAGATCCCGTTCCTTCTGCACCTATCTTTTCTAGGTTCAGTATAGCGTGGCAAACTCATATGCAGTATCTTTCTGGTTGATGATCGCATTTACACAATAATCTCAAGTGGTCATGCACTGGTTTTGCAAAATAGAATTTACCATCATGTTCTAAAGAAGAATTGGGTTTTTTTTCTGAGGTTTAAAAATTGCATTAAATGTTGTTTTTGTGGATAACCAAACAGTTCAAGGCACCTGCTACAATGGACTGGTGATCTTTATTGCTTAGTAAAAGAGGAAAATATTTTCTCAATTTTCTGTACAGTGGTCATTATTACAGGTAAAACCTGCTCATAATCTTCATCTTGGCCTTTCTGTGGCTTCATTTGATGATGAGGAGGCCCTGAGACTGCTTTGTTCAGCCTCATTCTTAGAGAGGTTAACAAATTTTTCAGTGCTCGGCACTTGTGATAACTGAGCCATCCTGTCTGGGGCCACCGTTTGACAGTAGATTGTAACTTTGGGCATCTATTTATTTAAAAACTGTTTTCAGTAATAGATGCATGAGACACTTTTGTGTCCAAACTGAGATAATAAGTGTGTCTGCTTTCTGCATGTGCTTGGCAGAGAGGCAGTCTGACGCTGTTGCTGTGTGGAGAAAGTGGACTTGTTTCAGCTCTTGAGCAAGTGTTTCAACATGGATTTAAATCACCAAGACTCTTCAAAAACGTCTTTATTTGGGACTTTTTAGGTAAGTCAGAGGAAGACATACCAGAGCCTGTTTGAGTCTTCGAAATATATCCATCCGCATTCCTTATCATCACCACTGTGTCTCAGCTGGTATGAACAGCATACTTCTTGGAGACATCTTAGCAACATCTCCTATATCGTCATTTTACTGTAGTATCTCAAACTTCAGTAGATATTAGAACTTCTTTAGCACTGTTCAGAGGGAAAGAAGTGGAATCTCAGGTTTACATACGAGGAACACAGGACTGAATCAAACAGAAAAAGACAATGCCTAGACATAATTATTAAGGAAATATATGGATGAGCTTTGAATCAAGGCCTTTCAACTTTAACTGTCCCCTCCATGATGCAGACACTCATGCTGATTTGCCAGTGATCTGATACAGGCATCAATAGCCTTATGAATTTGTAAGCATTTTTATAGGGAAAGCATTATACTGACGTGGTATTAAATGTAGTCATCTAAATTTGAAGGCCATAGTGCCTAATTATTTTATTCCAAGCACAAGAGAATGATATTTCACATATTTTAGGACTGCTGTATGCACTGATGAAACTTCATTATCTCCCACCATTCTTTTAAGAAAAAGCACAAACGTACTATGAGACCCTTGAGCAGAATGAAATGGTCCCAGAAGAGAACTGGCAGACAAGGGCCAGGAATTTCTGTCGCTTTATCACTGCTATCAACAACACCCCTAGAAACATTGGGAAGGATGGCAAGTTTCAGATGCTGGTGTGTCTTGGAGCCAGGTATAAAGAAACTTCATCATTATTATTATTATTAGTAGTAATATTTTATTAAAATGAAAAAGATGTTGCATATTAGTAAGATAAAGCCACATAACTGCTGGATTGTGCAGTTTGAGTATTGCTTATACAGTTCTTTGATGTTACTAAAGAAGGATCAAGTGAACCATGCCCTGGCTGAGTTCTTAGGCGTGTGAAGTATGGTAAATCCGAGATACAAAATGAAGTATCCCAAAGAGCTATGCAGCTGAATCAAGAGAGAGCCTCCCTGTCATGTGCAGCTCACAAGGTTGGAAAATAGTAACAGAAAACCGTCCATCAGTGAGGCCTCTCCAGTTAATGGCTGGGTGAAATCCCCACCCTTCACCTATTCATTGTAGAGTTGAGTAGAAGGGAGGCTCGGGCCATCTGGAAGCCTCTTGGCACAAAGGCAATGGAGCAGGCGGGTGACTTTGGGTGTGCTTGGGACTTCCAGGCCTCCTGGGAAGCGTATTTTTTGATTTGAGGGGTGGAAAGCTTAGAAACACGTCTCTCACGGATGCTCCCTACTTAAAGAAGTCCCAAAGGCAGTTACTCCCCCTTCACTGCCTTATAAAAATATGTGGAGAAGATGATAGGTCGGTTTAGAAGGCAAAGAATAAAAATAATGTCAGTGAAAATGAGAAATTAACTTGGCTTTATTTTTATTTCCAAATTGAAAATTGCCACATTGTCAGAGACCACCTTTTGCATCACTGGATCGCCTTGCTTGCAGACTGCCCGATCACAGCACAGATGTATGAAGACATAGCACTGATTAAGGATCATACTCTCGTGAATTCTCTGATTCGAGTGCTACAGACCTTGCAGGAGTTCAACATTACGCTGGAGGCATCTCTTGTCAAAGGAATTGATATTTGACCTCTTGTCCCATGGGAAAAACTATCTTTTAAAAAAAAAGAAGAAAAGCAACAAGGAGTGAATCTCGTTAGTATGCAAAAGTTCTGTCTGCCAGTACATTGTATCGTGAACTTGTTCATCGCTCTAAAATGCAACTTTGACTTTTCTTGAAGGAAACTCCAAAAATAGTACAGGCAAATGGATAGAAGCTGTAAACTCAGTGTAAAAAAGAGGATTTTGGTATAAATCTATTTTAGAGTTTATTTGCTGATTTGCTTTTTACACACTTTCATGTGAAAGAGATAGAGATGAGTATTGTGCAGCTTATTTTAAAGCTGCAGTATTTCCTTGCCATAGAAAACGTGCAGCGAGCCTTTCAGCATTCTGTGAACTTGCCTTCAGATATGCTGTATGTCATAGACCCCAATGTATACACTCCATTTCTGCTGAGAAGGTCATTCTATAGTTTTTAAACTAATATTTTATATATTAACATTATTACCAATGTTTGATTTTTAACGTATCAGGTCATGTTCTGCTGCAAGGAAACTACAAATCTGACGTGTGCTTTTTTTTAATAGCTCCAAAGCACTGATTTGTCAACAAATCATTTTTTCCTTTATTTTTGTTGTCAGTATTATTTTTAGTGAAATCCAGGAGACTGAACCATGAAATGTGCAGAGATCAAAGTAATATTTTTCATATTGGTACGTAATTGCACAGAAGAAATTTAAGTGTGTTTTTTAACTGATGTTTTTTATTTATTTAACCTATCGTTGTGTTTTGTAAGTTTGTCTTTAAAAAAAAAATCTTCTATGATACAACTAGCTATATTATATTGCAATTCAGAATTTACAGTGCAGCCCACTTAAATGAAAAACCTGGAATAATTGTTCATAACACAAAAGTCTTTCCACTTGAACCAGCCTTTTGAAATTTGGTATATGGTTGCTGCTGGTAATTCTCTTAACTGCTAATAAAGAGAGACATGAGTTCCTCAAATGCCAGATGACTAAAGAAAGATATTTATGCCCCCACAAAAATAGTAATGGTATACCTACGACTAACAAATATAAGAATTTCTTAATTTTTCTGAAACAACAGTGAGCAGTAAAGTTTTTTCTTTTCCTTTTGAATGAATATGTCTTGGGTCCTGTTGTCGCAGTTTGCCTCATTTGGGATGCTTTTGTTCTTAGCAGAGAAAGCTTTAGTCCACTTCTACAATAAAACACAAACATTTTGAAAGTTTAATTTATTGGAGATCTGGAACTTGGCAAATGCCTGAAGGCATCTCTGTTCATTTGAACCCTCTGATAAAAACCTCTTTGAAATGAATATGTGACTTAAGAACAGGCTGATTTGTCAGCAGCACAAATTACTGTACAGAAGTTCAGGGCTGTGTATTTAAGAGGTCTCCACTGTATAAACTTATCTCCATATTGTCTCTCTTTTGAGAAACAGAGTCCCACATTTTTCGGTTCATACAATGTTATAGCACCTTTTCTTTACCTACAGCTTAGTCACATCTTGTGATAGTTTTATTTCCATAATTTATGAGTATAGCACATGTATTAAATTTTTGACTCTTTTTACTTTTGTCCTATTTATTTCATTATTAAACTGAGAAATTCCTTTGTCACTACTTACGAGAGCAAGATTCTTTTTTGATTTCACAGAAGCATTAGAAAGATGCAAGGGCAATGTCCAAGCCACTTCTCATGCTGGGTGGGTGTGAATTCTTTCACAGTCTGGAGCTTACAGGAGCATTTCACAGAAGCATTTTGTGTGTGCAGGTTTGTTTTGGTGGTGGTGGTGGTTTTTTTTCCAACTTTGGAAGGGCAAAGATAAAACAGGTGTATTTTATTCTATGAATTTCATGTATTCAGCTTAATAGTCTTTATATGCTTGCCCCAAATTGCGTATTCATGTATTGAGAATGGTGAAAATATAATTTTGCTGTGCTTTCTGCTGTCTTTATGACAACTTTACTAGGCCTGTGTATTTCACAGAGAGTACACCTACATAAAAAAGGAGAGTTGGATTAATTATTTTGACCTTAACAAACTAGTTGATCCTATTAAAACCATATCTCCCATAGTATTAAGTATGGATTAATTTTGTCTTGCATGAGGTAATTAACCCTGAATTAAGGTTCTTTTTTTTCTTTTTTATTTTTATTTACACAAGTTCACCTAGTGTGACATGATACTATTGGTTTAATGGCTTCCTTTGGTGTGGATCTTTTTGGCCTTACTATGACAGTTAGTGATACCTGGGATGGACACAGGCAGGGGTTTGCTGGTTCTCAAGTGGTGGGTTCTTTGGCTAGCACATGAGGATGAAGCTGCCCACCAGTGACAGCACCCTGTGTGCTAGCTGTCCAAGTGCAAAAGGAGGATGCAGAGGTCATCTTCCCAGCTCCTCAGTTACTTTATTTTCACAGGAAAGACCACTTTGTGATAGACTCTTCCTGCATCTCTCGCAGGGGGTCTATGCTTAATCCCATTAGGATTCACAGCACTTTTTGCTATGGACTTCCAAGTCTGGAAGGATTTGCTCCACTGAAGGACCAGTAGAAGGTTCTGAAATGCAGCAGATCTCGTTGGATCTAGAGGCCACCAAGGAAGACCGAGGTATTTAAATATAGCTATGTGGTAGCCTGTGCTAGAGTTTTGGGAAGAGATTTGTCTAGCATATGTAAGAACAGTTCAGTCTGTAGTAGCAGCCATAATCCCTACCACTCTTCAGTGTTTGCCACAAACCAACCTACTTCTTTCGTTGAGGAAGCTACCATCAGTCCCGCAGAGTAATATTAAGATCCAGTATTGGCTCCTTCTGTGCCATTCTGCTGAATTGGATGACTGTATAAGAACAAATGGAATGGTCACCATCTTTTTAACTAGAGCTTTGTAAAATCCAGCTCCTTTTTTAAAACTTGCATTGCATTTTTTGTTCCGAAATGAGCTATAGAATAATGCAATTGTAACCTTTTTTTTTTCTTGTTACTTTTCTGAAATGAGAGCAGGTTCGGTAGGTGCAGGTTAATGTGGCTGTACCGTTTTGTTGTTTGGGGTTTTTTTTGTAACAGTTAATGGGAAAAGAGAATGTTTGTTTATTGGGTGTTTTTTTTAAGAGCACACATGCATTCTGTAAAGAGAAATATGATAAAAAGTAAGTAGTTCATAATGCAGTAAATATATAGTGCTAAATTGGCCAGACATGTTTACAAGCTGATACCTCATTTGAGGGGGGGAAAAAAAACCACAACGGGCTATCACCTATCAATTATTTATGCTGCGTTGATTAATGCTGTCAGAGTTGATACAATGATACTTTATACAGAAAGAAAATGCAAATTAACAAAGACTCGGTTTAAATGTAATGAAATACTATGATGATAAGTTTATATGAAAAAAGCCTTTACCTGCCATTAACGTAACTGTTTGACATTCTGTAGCTGAAAACATACTCATGAACTGAAGAACTATTCCACAACTTTTTCCATTACAAAGAGTATTTTTCAAATTGTTCAAATGGGACCTACTAGCTGAGTGATCAATACTTTTTATGTGTTTTGAATTCATTAATATGTTAAGATTTCTGCAGTGAAACTATTCAGAGTTAACTTTTTCTGTGTATTGTGAAATGATTTTTGTCCATAGTGCAAAATACTACAGGATACTTGAAAATACTTGAAGATATTGTACATGTACTTCACATCTTTGTAGTTCTTTATTTTATACCTAGAGATTGGCTGTTCAGCTAAGATAAAGCATCAATACCATATAAACTATATATTTTACTACGTGGGGAAATCAATGGCTTGTTTTTTTTAAGGGCGGGCATTGAAGTTTACATTATAATGACAAAACCAGGTACTGCTTTCTTATTTTATTTTTCCTGTGACATTTCAATCCATTGGACATTAAATGTGAATTGAATATACAAAACAGTTTAGGAGGTGTAGCTTATTTGCTGAAATGCAATAAAATTTGTCTTCTACCATGAAAAATAGCATTAATGTGCTATTTTCAAAAGCCTCTTACTGTAATTTGGCTAATCATATTTTCCTTTTTGCCTGGCTGCAGGTACATATGACATTTTAATGTCTGATTTCAGGAGACATTTTTTGTACTCTTTTGTATCTGATCTGCTCAACTAAATGCCTGCCTCCCTCCCAGCACCAGTGTAGCCTTCTCTCAAGCAGTCGTTGTTGGTCAGACTGCCTTCGGTGGAAGAGATGCCTGCTCAGTAATCAGGGAATGGGGAGAACAGGACAGCAAATGGACTAATGCAGATCTTGGAAAGTGTCTGTGAGTACACACACACACACACACGTATGTGCTGCCATTTATATTAGCATTTTTCTTACCTCAGAACAACTTTTGATCCTAATAACCAAATTTGGTGGAGGTCTCCAAATTTTGTTTTGAAAAATACAATTCGGTCGGTCACCTCTATATACCATGTACCCTTCTCTTTATGTGGGAGGATCTATACAGAGAAGCAGGAATTGTTGGAAATGTAACTATCTGATGCTTCAAATATAAGATTAAGTGAAAAAATAGCAGTCCTCCATCTACAATTACCTGAAAGGAAGTTGTAGGGAGATGGGGGTCAGTCTCTTCTCTCACGTTATGAATGACAGGACGAGAGGGAATGGCCTCAAGTTGCGCCAGGGGAAATTTAGGTTAGGTATCAGGAAAAATTTCTTTACAGAGAGGGTTGTGAAGTATTGGAACAGGCTGCCCAGGGAGGTGGTGGAGTCCCCATCCCTGGCGGTGTTTAAAAACCGTGTAGATTTGGTGTTGAGCAATATGGTTTAGGGACCCTGACAGTGCAGGGTGAATGTCTGGACTCAATGATCTTTGAAGGTCTCTTCCAACCAGATGATTCTATGATCTCTGAAATTATGACGTCTGTGGCACACGTGTGCCCAAGCTTTATTGCCTGTATTGTGTTTCCTACTTTTCTTACCCCATCTTTGCCCAGGGTAAGATCTAACTTGACAGATAGTCCCAGAGGAGGAATTACTAAGTGGAGAGATTATACTGGCACAGAGGAAAAATTAGTTCTTTCCCTCTCTGTTCATTCACTTTTAGGAATGATTCGAAGTACGTACAGGTGTAGTGGAGCCCTGTATAATCTTGGTTCATTAGATACTGCTCTGCTTATCTCATCTTGAAACTGGTTCTGCTTGCCTTACTATATATTAAATCTGGTTTTTAGATTTGAGTGGAGTAGTAAACAAGTGCAAGCGCAACTCGTGTGTGGTTATCCTTTTGTAACTTTTCTGCTGCCTGTGTCCTGAAAGTTTTATATGTCAATTGTGTGAGAAGCAGGGAGACCAAGTCAGTTTTACGCACTTTCATCTCCTGCTTCATCCAAAATGCACTCTTCAGGACATCCCTGCTTGAGCAGGGGGCTTGGACAAGATGACCTCCAAAAATCCCTTCCAACCTCAGTCACTCTGATTTTGCGTTTCCTCCCCATGTACAAT